GGGGGGGGGGGGGGCGACGGCTGCAGGGGAGGGGCCCCGCCCCCTGGAGCCCCCCGTGGGTGCTCGAGAGGTGGGCCTCGCTTCACCCCTCCGTTTATTGCCCGCCCCCCCCCTCCCCCTCTGGCATCCCTGGGGGGCCACATGCGAGCCCTAGCCCTACCCCCCACGAATTTCTGAGGGGGAGTGGGGTTCGCTTCGTTCCGGAGCACCCGAGCGAAGGGACCCCCCCCCCTCAGAAATCGCGGGGGGTAGGGCCAGGGCTCGCATGTGGCCCCCCAATCCCCCCCCGAGCATCTCTTGGCAGGGCAAGGCAGCTTCAGGATAAGGCGCAGATACTCACACTTAAGTACGATGCATCTCTCGGCGTCTGGAACGCTCACAGCGTTTCCTCTGACGACGAGTACACACCGGAGCACTTACTAACCTCGTTTGGCGATGATGAGCTGCATGGAAAACAATCCACCCGGTCCCCCCGTCCCCCCGAGGATGCAACTCTGGGAAGTTCAGTTCAGCATCGGCGCTGGTTTTCAAGTTCAACGCCTGAGCAGGCGCACAGTTCAGCATCGGCGCTGACATATCCAAGTTCAGTTCAGCATCGGCGCTGCGCAGGCACAGTGCCAGCCAATTTGGCTGAATCCCACCGAAGTTGGTTCAAACTTGCGCTTAATCCAGGCAAATCCAGCTTAGTGGCTCCTCAATTGGGCTTCATAGCCTGTGATCGTTCTCGCGAAGACCTCCCGCGAATTGCTACATAACCCCGACATGCGCTGCCCTGTGTTTGGAATGCGGGGCCCCATGGCCAGTTTCTCGTCCCGAGTCCTTTCTGACCGTCCCCGGGCCCAGCAAGGTCCCCTGGAGGCAGAGAACGATGAAATGCCGTCCGTCGTATTTTCTGCTACCACGCGACCTTGTCTTGGACCCGCCCCCATCGAGCAGCGCCGGAAGGCTGGCGAGTACTACGAGCTCTCCGGGCAGTACTACCAGGCGGGCCCCTTGGCCGCTGTTCCGCTCGAACGCTCCCGCCGTTCGAGCGGGAGCGTTCCCCAGGGTCCGACAACCCGCACCCATACCCATAGCCAGTCCTCCTCCCAACGACCCCCCTATGGGTATGGGTGTGTGTTGTTCGTTCGTCAGGGGTGGCGGAGGAGCGGGTGCCGGGCGGCGTGGGCAGCGGGCCGACAGGGATGCGCCGCGAGGTGGCCCCACCTCAAGACTTCCGCACTGCGGGGTGGTTGTGGTCCCTGCGTGCGGGAAGCAGGTCTCCCGACCGCAGCAGCACGCACCACGACCACGATGCCGACGACGACCACGGCGACGACGGAGGCGAGGCGCGCAGACGATCCGCACCGAAGCGCGGATTTCGGGAAAGGGTCCACCCTGCAGAGTCGGTGAAACAGCACATCCTTGAGCGGTCCTGCAGCTGCTGCTGCTGCTGCTGCTTCTGCGGAGGAGGAGGAGGAGGAGGAGGGAAGAAGAGGAGGGAATAAGAGGAGGAGGGAAGAAGAGGAGGAGGAGGAGGAGGGAGAAGGAAGAGGATGAGGCGGCGGAGGAGGAGGAGGGAGTGCAGAGGAGGATGAGCAGCAGCAGGATGCAACTCCTAGGAGGTTACATTCAGCACCGGCGCTGGATCTGGCTGCGTCCCGCTTAATTCCGCTTAATCCAGGATGATCCAGCTTATTCGGGCTTGTCCTGGGCTGAGTCCAGACAAATCCAGCTTAGTGTTTTTTCATCGGGCTTAATCGCCGTTCATCGTTTCCACGAAGACCTCCCAGAAGTTGCCTCCTGAGGAGGAGGAGCAGGAGGAGGAGGATTTATACATGGAAGAGGGGGTCGGAGAAGAAACCTCGACACAAGCATTGCCTTTCGGACAGCCGCGCTGATCTTCCCTTGGCGGCGGCTCTGGCGTTTCTGGCGCCGACCCGAGATGTTCGCGTGGATCTTCGAATTTGTTGTGTAAAGAGATGCGGGTGTCCCATAGTTGAGGAGCCCTCCATGTCTGGTTTCATCACAACTGTATGGGCTCATCCTTCTCTCTTCCAGCTCCGCGTCCCCACATCTGCGAATCTCCCGTTGGGCAGGAGGGGGATGAGAGGAGGGAGGGAGGGACGGGGAGGAGGGGAGAGTGGAGAGAGGGGGAGGAAGGAGGGGGAGGAGAGGAGGGAGGGGAGAGGAGAGGAGGCGGGGAAGGAGAGGGAAGAGAGGAGGAAGGGGGGAAGGAACCCCTCCCCTCCACTCACACTTCTCATTATCCTACTCCCTCCCCCTCTCCTTGGCCCCTTGGCCCCCCTTGCTTCGTGTGCCTCGGAGGGGCCACTCCGCCCTGGATCTCTCCGACGGGGCGGCTCGCCTTCACACCCTCGGCTTCTGTTTTCGGACGGCTCCCTGCTCTATTGCTTGCTCGCTGGCTTCCAATCACCTGTGATGGCGTCAACTCCTATCCTTCTATCCCACGCTCCCCTCCTTGCCTCCTCCCGCCTTCTCCTGCCGCTCTACACCCCCCCGATCCCCGGGAGCAGGAGGCGGAAGATGAGGAGGATGAGGAGGAGGATGTTTTGTTCTGCATGTCATCTTCATCAGACGCGAAAAGGAGGAGGAGAAGGAGGAGGATGATGAGGAGGAGGAGGAGAAGAACAAGAAGGATAAGGAGAAGGAGGAGGAGGAGAAGGAGGAGGAGGAGGACGACGATAGAAGCGTGCAGGATGAGGATGATGATGAGGAGGAGGAGGCAGAGGAGGGAGGAGGAGGAGGAGGAGGAGGAGGAGGGAAGGTCAGAGAAGGAGGAGGAGGAGGAGGAGGTGGAGGGAAGAATGGAGGGGGAGCAGGGGGAGAAGTGCCCCCGCACCCCCCCTGCTAGAATTCGAAGAACCAAAAACCCTAGTTTGTTTGAAGAGTCTTGGCCTCACATTCGGATCAGGGAGGAGGTTCAGGGGCAGCGTCAGTCGAAAGAAGCAACAACTGCATTAAGCCAGATGTTCGGAGCTCCACGTGGATCTCTGGGATCTGTTCTGGACCCTTCTGTCGGCGTCTCCGGCGCCGCCCCCTGCGCGCCCCGCGTGCTAGGGAAGGGGGGCCCAGCTCCGATCCAAGAAATCGGCGCGGAGCTTACAGAAATGATGATGCCTATGCAGTTTCATCGAACTCTAGCAAGAAGGGGAGGGGACCCTCCTCTGCTTGCTCCTCCAGTTTTCCTTCTCCGCCTCCTCCTCCCCCTCCTCCTCCTCCTCCTCCTCCTCCTCCTCCTCCTCCTCTCCCTCTTTCTCCGCCTCCACTCTTCCCTCCCCCTCCTCCTCCTCCTCCTCCTCCGCGGAGCTCAGAGACATGTATGCAGCTTCCTTGTTCTCTTCCAAACGTGGCCCGGGCGGGACTCCTCCCGCGGTGCTCTCGGGCCCGCCGCCGCCGCCGGTGCGGGAGGCTGGGAGGCGGGCGGAGGGCCGCAGGTGCCCGACGGCAGAAGTTGGGAGGTTCGGGGATTCGGGGGCGGAAAAGAGGGGGGTGATGACTAGGGGAGGGTGGATATCAGTGCGGGGCCATAATATTTCCCCAGATTTCATGGTGCCCCTTCTTATTTCGTTACGTCCCTGGCCCACCCGCTGGACCGCGCACATGCCGCCGGTCATGATTTGCACCCTCCCCTCTTGGACACCCCCCTCTTGGCCGCTCCCGATCGGGGATGGGGCGCTCAGTTGGGGGCAGCGAGGGAGAAAGGGAGGGGGCAGAGGCTCAGGGGGGAGGATCTTGGAGGAGGGAGAGGTGCGGAGACCGCCACCCTTTCCTTTGCTGTTACCCTTTTGGGCCTCCTCGGAGGCCCTCGTCGCCACCGATGGATTCGCCTCGAAGTTCTGGTCAGAGCGCACCCCGGGAGAGGTCCGGGGCATAGCTGTAGGGGGATGGGGGGGCAGAATGTGAATTCGCCCCGGAATGAAAAGGGAGGGCCCACGTCCCCCTCCTGCTTTCAGGAGGGGAAACAAACACCGACCCAATCAATCGTCGACCCCCAGGAAAATACGGGAAAATATGGGAAGGGGGGGGGAAAGACGAAAACCCAGACAATATGAGAAACTATGGGGACTCCTGTGATTTGTGTGTATTTATCTGTGTGTCCCAGGGCCCCTTCCTCCCTTGAGGGTGTGGAGCAGCTCTCCCGGCGGCGAGAGCTTTGTTAGGCCTTCCACCGCGGCTCCAGCGGCTGCGAAGTTGCGGCGCTGCAGCTTCTGCCGCCTGCTGTGGCTTGCGTGGCGTCGAGAGACGTGGCTCTGGCGATATTGGGTCGCTCAAAGATTACAGTCAGGAGAGGAAAAAACACACAGACACAATTAATCCTCGATTCCCCCGAAAAATGTGAAAATATGGGAAGTGAGGGGAAGACAGAAACTCAGAAAATATGAAAATATGGGTCGCTCAAAGATCGGGAGCCTTGAGATGGGGGTCAATGCAAACGGGGGTTAGCCAGGGCGCCAGATCCTGCAGGATCCTGCGAAGACCCCCTCTGGCTGACCCGGGTTAGCGAGCCGCTCGTGGCCGCGGGGCGGCCGCGCGTGTTGGCTGACCCGGGTTTGCGAAGACCTACGTTGCAGTTGTTTTCCCCGCATTGCAGTTTTTGGTTTCCTGCTGACCCTGGTCTGGATTGACCCGGGTCAGAAGATCCCCGAAAAGATTACAAGCCCCTGCAAACGGGCCATTAGTGAACGGGGCGGTCGATAATTCAGGGGCCCCTTCAAGCGAGAATGGGGTGACAGGGCATTCACCTCGCACTAGTGCCTGCTACATCGGGAAGACGAAAACGTCGAACGTCGACACATGAGCAGTTATCGGGACGATTGTAACATAACACTCGGAAGCCGAGAAACGCCGCATCCTTTCGTAGATCTCTTTGTGGTTCAAATGTTTCTTCCCTCTTGAGAGGGGGGGTGAGGTCCAGGCGCCCCTCCTTCAGCAGGACCTTGCCTCGAGGTTTTGGCGTGACCCGTTCATTTCCTTGTCCAGGTTGCACGCCCTCAGGCATGGTGGACGCTGATGGGGAGGAGGAGGTGCCTGCCGACCTCGCGGCTGTGGAGCCCGTGGCCGCCGCCCGCGGGCTCCCCGTGCAGGTGGGCCGTCTGTATCGCTGCACGGCGTTCGACTCAGAGTCGCGGCCGCAGGGTGAGTACCTCATCCAAGTTGTAGGCGCCTGCCCGCCCGACGAGGAGGGCCAGTTCGCACGGGCCGAGCAGATCTGCTGCAGCGACGGCTACTGGGCCTGGTGGATGGCGCATCCCGTGGAGCGCGGAGGAGCAGGCCGACCTCTCTATCACTTCTGTACGGAGGAGATGCGCCTAGCCTCGCCGAGCGCCTCGCGCGGGACACTGATCCACGTCTCGGAGTTTGAGGAGGTCGACGCAGCAGAGGCGTCGGAGTTCTATCTGGAGTGCAAGGCGGTGGACTCTTGGGCTAAGTGGCCAGAGGAGTTCGGGCCCGAGCCTACTGGAGAGGCGGCGGCTCGCGAGTCGACGGAGGACGCCCTGGACGAGTTCGGCATGCCGCTCGACAGTTGCGTGGTTCAGGACACGGCTGCCCCTGCCTCAGGCTCGCGCCCCAGGGCGGCGCCAGCGCGCGTTGGCAGCCGCCAGCCCGCTGCCCTGCAGGCTTCGCCGCTGGCGGGGGCAGGCGCCCGCCTGTCAGCCGTGGCGCCCCCTGCGCGCGAGGCTGGCGACCTTCGCGCTCGGCTCGATCGGCTTCGCGGGGCGCTGCAGCCAGCCCCTGGGGGGAAACAGCCGACGGAGAAGCTGCGCGAGGCGGTGGCTGGAGCAGCCCCTGCGCGCGGCGGAGCAAAGCGGCCGCTGGCGGAGGTCGTGCAGGACAGGGCCGGCAAGAGGCGCGCGCCCGAGGTCCCAGCGGAGGCGGCTCCGAGCGCCGAGAGCGGTGGCGCTGGTGCAGGAGGCGAGGGGCCTCTTCTCCAGTTGTTGCTCGAAGCGGCGGCCAACAGGAGCGGCAATGGTGACGTTTTGCAGTCAGTTCTTAGTGGCGCCAGCGGCAGCAGTGAGGGGGCTGCCCCGCGAGGTCTCGCCTCTCGTCGAGGTCATTTTCGCCAGATTGCCGCCAAGTTCCCAGGGCTTCTCGGAGCAGGCGCTGGCCAAGATGAGTGAGTACGTCACCACGCAGGTTGGTGAGGAGGAGGGGGAGGAGTTCCCACCCATCTTCCTGAAGTACTTCTTGAATGTCTTCATCCCTCAGAACCCCATCAAGTCGATCGGGATTGGGGTCTACCGCGAGATGAGGGCTGTTTGCGAGGCCGCCGATGCCATCCTCTCGGGCAAGACGGCCTACGCCTTGGACGTGCTGAGTCAACGGTTCAAGGCGCTTCAGCTCTTTGCTGTGGACAAGAGCTGGTCAGGTGCTCGCTGGCTGGAGCTCATCCCGCCCTCGAACGAGCAGCTTGCGCTCAGGGCGGAGGATGAGGAGATCGTGCGCACAGTCGAGCTGGGCGAACTGCGCCTCGAGGAGCTGCTGTCCAAGCTCAAGCGGGGCTAGGGGTCAGGCCGGGAGAGGGAGCCGCCGAGGAGCAACTCCCCTCCTGTAGGCCAGACTGGCGGGAGCCAAGGCAAGGCGGCACACCGGCTGCCTGCGCCTCGGACGCCTGCGGACCTCGTCAAGGATCTACCCCTGCCAGCAGCGCCAGCAGCAGCAGCAGCCCGCCGCCCTGCCCCAGGGCCGCAGCGGACAGTGCAGCTGCGCGAGGACGTCTCGAAGGAGGCGACGCCGAAGGAGGTCTCCTGGAAGGCCATCAAGGACGCCCACCCGAAGAGGCAGGGCGAGACGCGTGGAGCCCACGGCATGCGCCTCAGGAAGCTCATGCAGGAGGCTCGCGGGCGACAGGACCGACCCGCGAAGTAGGCCGCGAGGCAGCGCTGAACACTGACGCGCAGCCTCGCTGGCCCGAGCACTTACAGGTCTGCACTGACTTGACCGCGTGGAGGGCAGCTGTGACTCGAGCTGTACCCGCCACGCCGCTCTTACTGGACTTGGGCGTCGCCATCGTCGCCTTGCAGTGGCAGCACCCAGGCCGCCTTGGAAAGTTTTGCCGTGAGTTTCGTCCACACCTTCCCACGACTGGAGGGCCGCAGGTAAGGACGCGTGACCTGTTGCCGATGGCCCTCCCCGACCTTACGCTCGCACGAGCATGGGTCGCATCTCAGGACGGACCGAGAAGGAAGCGTCAGAGGTTCAGGATTGAGGGGCGCTTAGTCGCCAGAGAAGTTTGGTCATATATAGTGGTGCTGTCTCTCAACTTCGAGTACGTTGGTCGAGGTGACCCTCGTCTGTGGAGACACTCGCCAATGCTACATCTTGCCCAGCGGTCCGCCTACAAGACCATCATCTCCCACGTTGACGGCTTCTTAGATGACCCGCTGACTCGTCGGCCTGACATCGACTGGGCCCAGAACATCAGCAAGCTCAGGGTCGGCTACACTGGTGAGGAGCAGGGCGAGGCCTTGCCCATCAAGCTGGCGGAGCTCATACCAGGCCTACCCGACAAACAGCATGCCGCGCAGCTCCAGACGGAGGAGTTCGTTGACGAGCACATCCTGGAGTGGCTTATGAACCCTGAAGTTGCCACGCTGCCTGTTGCGGAGTGGCCGCTGGACCCTCCTCGCGCCCGAGTCAATTGCGAGAGGCTCGAGGACTGGTACGAGGTCGCGGAGCACTTGATTGGCCTCGGAATTTTGGGCGTGGTCGACGAGGCGGACATCTTTGCGCCGCGGGGCCAGAAGGTCTTCAACGGCCTGTTCGCTCGCGAGAAGAAGGGCAAGCCACTCGAGGGCCAGTCGAGATGCACGCGCCTCATCTTCAACATGATACCCTCCAACGCCTACCTCCGCAACATCGTTGAGGACACGTCGACTTTGGCGGCCTCCACTTCATGGACCAGCCTCCACTTGCCAGCAGGATGTGCCATGGTGTGGAGCAGCGACGACCCGAAGGGCGCCTTCTATGTGTGGAAGTTGCCGCCAGCCTGGCATGGCAGAATGGCCGTCTCGGTGCCCGTGCCAGCGAGCGCTGCTGGGTTGCCTGGGGACCACCTAGTCTACGTGGCGTTCCGCGTCATCCCCATGGGCTGGGTCCTCGCAGTCACCCTCTTCCAGCACCTACACCGCCGCCTGGCCTTGCGAGCACCGCGTCTGGGAGCTGGTTTGCCTGCAGGAGCGGAGTGGAGGCGCGATCAGCCTTGGCCGCTGGCGAAGCAGCATCCTCACGCGTGGTGGCAGGTCTACATCGATGACTTTGATGCGCCCGAGGTCCTGGAGGCGGCAGAGGCGTATCGAGTCGTGGGCACCCCAGGCGAGATGCAACTCGCCATGCGGCGCGCCTACACCCAGGCAGAGGTCGCCTACGCGGAGGAGAAAAGCCACGCACGGCAGTTGCAGCTCGAGAGGATGGGAGCGTCCATCGACGGCTGCGCGGGTACGATCAGGGCCCCTGCCGACAAGGTGATCGAGCTGGTCCGCTACATTCTGTACGCCCTGGGCCGCGAGTGCTGCCCGTGGCTGCTTATGCTCACGTTGCTGGGCCGCGCCGTTCGGGCCCTGGAGTTCAGGCGGCCGCCACTGAGCTGTCTCAACTCGGTCTGGGAGTTTTCCACCAGGACGAGAGGCGGACGCATCAACATGGGCATGAGCCAGGAGCTGCTTGTGTGCATCGGGTACCTGCCTATCGCGTGCACCGACCTTAGGGCGGCGCTGTCGCCAGTCGCCACCGTCTCGGATGCCTCGGAGGCTGGAGGTGGAGTGTGCGCTTCCACTGGCCTCACGCCCTTGGCAGTCCAGCAGCTCAGGGCCGCCCGCCAGGGAGCGAGGCCGGTGCTGGGGCCAGGCCGCAGCGACCTGCAGCCCGCACGCAGCTCCCCGTCGCTGCCAGGGGGCCGGCCACGGCCCAGGGTGCTCATCGTGAGCCTCTTCGACGGCATCGCCGCGCTGGCTGTGGCAGTGTCCAGGCTGCCAGTCGACATCATCGGCATGGTGTGCAGCGAGGTTGACAAGCCTGCTAGACGAGTCGTGCGACTCCGATGGCCTGGAACCGCCGACTGGGGCGACATCCGATCGATCTCCGAGAAGGACGTCGTTAAGCTAGCTGACACCTACTACGGCCTGTGCGACGTCTGCGTCTGTGGAGCGGGCAGTCCTTGTCAGGACCTCAGCGCAGTCAACTTGTCGCGGGCGGGCCTGGCTGGCCCCAGTTCGAAGCTCTTCTATGAGATCCCGAGGGTCCACGGTCTCCTTCGTAAGCACTTCAAGGAGAAGCTAGCCACCTTTGTTGAGAATGTTGCCTCGATGAGTCCGCAAGTGAGAGATGCTATCACGAAGGAGCTTGGGGTCCCGCCAGTCAAGCTATGCTCCTCTATATTTGTTCCTGCTCGTCGGCCGCGTTACTACTGGTGCAGCTGGCCCGCGCAGACTCGCGGGGAATTCGCAGTCGAGGTGCCGCGCCAGCCCAGCGGGTCACCCCAGGTCGTGCGCCGAATCAGCGGTTCAGTCGCCCCTTTCCAGTGGGTCGCTGCTGGCTGGACCTGGGGAGGCGGTGCTGCTCCAGTTCCGACGCTTGTGTGCCCGCGGCCTGCCTCAAGTAGACCTGCGATGCCTGCAGGCCTCCGCTCTGCTTCAGACGCTGCCAAAAGGAGGTGGGAGCAGGACTGGTATCGCCATCACTTGGGCTGGTATGAAGAGACCTCCATGCTTCGGAACGATTTGGATGGGAGCCTCCGCGCGCCTAACCCCGAGGAGAGAGAGGCTCTGCTGGGATTCGACAAGCATTACACAAGGGTTGCCCACAAGGACCCTGAGGCCCAAGGAGTTGCTGACACGAGGAGCTTTCTCTTGGGCAACTCTTATTCAGTGTATTCGGTCTCCTGGCTCCTCCAGCAGCTGTTTCTGGCTCGAGGACTTCTTGCTCGCGAGCTACCTGCTGAAGCTCTGTTCGCGCGGGGGGCGTGCCCGCTGGCCTGGGGCGAGGTCGGCACCTACACGAAGGGCGCAGCCGAGTGCGACAAGAAGCTGGCCTCAGAGTTCACAGGCGAGTTCTTGGCACTAAGTGATCGCAGTGGTAGCGACATTCGCCTAGACGTGGGCCTGCCTAATCGACCGAAGGCGTGGCCGCGGGCGAGCATCAGCCCCTTCAACTGGAACTGGAGAGTCGTGGTCTCGCTGAGGTGGCAGGGCAGCATCGACCTCCACATCAACGCCCGTGAGCTGCAGGCGGGAGTGGCAGCCCTGCTGTGGAGGACTCGCTCCACCAAGCACCTCAGCGCCAGGTTTGTTCATCTGTTTGACTCGCAGGTAGTGGCAGCGATCACTACGAAGGGGCGGTCGTCCAGTACCAGGCTGCAATGGCTCCTGCGCAAGTGGGCCGCCCTCTGCGCGGCGGGAGGCCTCTACCCCATCACCGGGTACATCGCGACCGAGGACAACCCCGCCGACGCGCCCTCCAGACGCCAGTGGAAGGCGGGGGGGCCAGGGCAGCCATTCCGACAGCCCCAGAAGGTCCGCAATCACTCCTTCAAAAGGCGAGGAAGGCACACTCAGCGAAGCGTGGTACTCGGTTGAAGCTGCTCCGAGTCACCTCCACCACGCTCCACCGCTACAGAGCAGCAGCCAAGCGCGTCCTCGATTTTTGGGATGCCGTAGGCCTCATGCCCTCAGGACCGCTGGACACCGACGAGGGCATCGCCGAGTACATAGAGATGCTCTGGAGCGAAGGCCAGCCTGTTAGCCTTGCCAACTATGCGGTCGCTGCGATAGGCTTCTTCTTCCCCTCAGTCAAACAGAGCTTGGGGTTGTCATGGAGTCTGCTCAAAGCTTGGAGGCGATGCGAACCGCCTGTTCGCGCCTTGCCGTTCACGCCAGAGCTCATTCTGGGGATGGCCGCCCTCGCCATCGAGTGCGACGCTGTGGATGTCGGCACCCTCCTAGCATTGGGTTTCGCAGGTCTGCTGCGCACCACGGAGCTGTTCACATTGTCCAAGCAGCAAGTTGCGATTATCAATGACAGAGTGATTGTCCGCTTGCCTGAGACCAAAACAGGGCACCGCAAAGCCACTACCGAGATGGTCGTTGTCGACTGCCCCATCGCCGTAGATCTAGTCAAGCGCTGGTATGTACACGCAGCGCCTCCGGACACGATCAGCACACGGTCGCCAGCGCAGCTTCGCAGTTGCCTGAAGAAGTTGCTGGCATTCTTTCACCTCGAGGATTTCCGCTTCTCCTGGTACTCATGCCGTCGTGGTGGTGCCACGTACGACTTCATGTCGCATCAAAGTATGGAGACAACGATAATGAGGGGCAGATGGGGTTCAGCGACGACCGCAAAGATTTACATCGAGCAGGCGGTTGCAGACATAGTCCAGGTCACTCCTGCCCCAGATGACCATATGCTAATCCAACACTTTGCGCGTGGTCTCTATCAGTCAATTGTTGCAAGAGAGAGTCAGAGCAGGTGTGGTACGCTGTGAGTGAGATCTTGAGACACGACACGTGAGTCCTTCCGTGCCAATTTTTGTGAGTCCGTGGAATACCCCCACGCTGTCTAGAGGCTAGCCGCCTGTCCGCTCCGATCTAGCCCTCCTCAGGCCTCGGCGTCCCTCGGGGTCCCCTGGGTCGTGCTTCCTGGACGGGAGTCTTTCGGGTCCTCCTAGGGCCTCGACCTTGGGGTATCCTGCAAAGAGACTCCTTGGGTGTCCTCGGGGCTGCCTGGAGGTCTCCTGAGGTCTCGGGGGTAGGTCTCGAGCGGTGAGGGGCCTGGCGCATGCCTCTCCAGCTGGTGGTTGCTAGCGACGCTAGCCACAGACCCCTTGGCGTGGGAAGGTAAAGTGAAAGGGTTATGAGCAGTTATCGGGACGATTGTAACATAACACTCGGAAGCCGAGAACCGCCGCATCCTCTCGTAGATCTCTTTGTGGTTCCCGCCCGCGCCACCCTATAGTAGTGCCTGGCCTACTTCGTGGATGCGAGGCGTGTTTACCCCCACGCTGTCAAGAGGCTAGCCGCCTGTCCGCTCCGATCTAGCCCTCCTCAGGCCTCGGCGTCCCTCGGGGTCCCCTGGGTCGTCCTTCCTGGACGGGAGTCTTTCGGGTCCTCCTAGGGCCTC